CCACTTCCGGTACGCTTTTACCTGACGAGCTATGCAAATAATGGGTTGGCAAATTTGAAAAGATTTGACTAACATAAATGTACAACAATCATATCAAGCTGCATTAATCATTCATATTGGCCCAGATGGTAGCGCGCAGGTGGTATTAAGGATGGTGGTTCATAATTTTAAATCTCTTTTTGTTATAGGTGCAAAAATGTCCTAAATTAGATGATAACGTGTATTTCGTACTCTTGAATGTTTGGAGTTGTGTTCTATATGAATTAACCAGGTACCAGTTACCATATACATGTATGGTATGTACATTTACCGGACAACTTCGCATTTAATGACACGTGCTGAATTAGGCGTTGCCTAACAACTTCGTTGATTAGCTTTTTGTGTATTTGACATCAATGTTTTGAGGCTTGTGATATCAGTTAGTAGACTTACGTTCAGGCTGTCAGATATATTAGGTGGTATTGAAGGCTTTTTATGGGAAAAGCTAAAGCATGTGTCAGTCTCTTAGCATATATGTAAACAAACTAGTTACTTTAATCTCTAACCAACCTAGTGAATAGTGCTTCCAATTCAACAGAGCATCACTCACAAGTCAATGGCTGTTCATCGCTCAGCGCACTTTCCTTTTGTTTATCAGCCAAGTAATTAGAATCTTCTCATAAAAAAGGATTAATTATTAATTTAGTGACTTTTTATCTGTTAGTTATGATTCGGTCAGTGTTGCCGGACGTGATTAGAAGCGACGTAGAGACGTTATTGTGTTCTAACGTGAGTAGGATTCAGTAGGTGAATGTGTTGTCGTCATCCCGATCATCGTGGTATTGCATCATACTTTTTCTGTCCGTGCATCAATGAAGGTTATAAAAGAATCTCTCCCATAATTAATTTTCGACCAGATTGTGAAAGAAAATCGCATTAATTGAGCATTTTAATCTATGCGGTAAAGCTCTCAGACAACAGATACCCGGCCAGACTGATATTTGATAAAGTTCAAAATCGTTATTACGCATGCTGGCCAATGAAATCTCGTCTCTAGATCTAAACAAATCTCGGTGATTAGCGGTCAGGTTCAGATTTTCTGAACTATCTCCTGACATCGACACGTGATGTCTGTATATTCACGGAATCATTAAATCGCACGTGCTGTGACCTAACATCACACATTAATGTTCACTGCCTCGGGAAGTCAAGTAGCGGCTTTACGATCAGGCCATATCAGGAATATTACGTGGTCGTTTAATTGTCTTTAAAACAGGGATAGTTAAAATAAGGGTATTTCTATACAAAGTTATCCCTGGTTTTTACTAAGATAAATCAGAGAAACAAACGCTATGATTTATTTAATCACCGCCCCCCCCNACAATGGGGTTGCTACCTGTTCTGTTTAGGTCTATGATAAGTTAAGCCACGCACAGAAAACAACAAGTCGTCGAAGAGAGGAGCACACTTTGCTCCAACAGGGGACAACCGTCCGTTCAAACATCTCAACCAAGGTCGTGTCAACCAGGAATACCCCAGTGTGTTTAATCTTCGTTTTGTCGCGTTTTTCACAAAACATGCTTCAAAATAGTTTACAACCATAGTTTTATTTCACTGTTCGCCTTTTATTTCTGGCAACATACCTCTCCTACTTGAAAGAATAGAACAAAGGCTTTCCCTCAGTTATGAGGTGTGTTAGTGTAACGAAAGGAACAGTAAGATGCAGTGAGAGTAGAAACATTTTGAGGAGAGGATTTTCAATGAACAAAAGATCTGCTGAGTTGTTCTTTACCTAGACCAGGATTTATCTCGGAGGCTACCCGGAGAAAAAAAGAATTTCAGTTTCAATAAAACCTAATAGTCCTCTGCTTGTTTGTTATTATTGAGAATTGTTGTTAAGGCATATTCCGATCTGTCTGTAAATAGGCCAAACGGACGACAGTAAATACTGTCAGGGTGATAGGTTATATTCTCTAATTTTCATGTAAAATGATCTTTCCTGGAAGTTTTACTTAAAACTGTTGGGTCTGCAACTGAACCATTTGTCTCTGACTTCCATGAAGCACCCAGTTAACATACATGTTCTCTTCAATATTAAGATGAAATACCGGCGAAATATCCAGGGATGTATTGTCTATTACCTAACAAGTAGACAAGAGGCAACGAAGAATCTTAAATGAAAATTCAACTGGTATAATACTAACGTTCAGGTACACTTAATTTACTGAACGTTGTGTAAACGTACCAGTCTTAACTTTCTTCTTCATCGAATCACATAATAAATACTTGCTAGATTTAAACATAAACAAATGTCGGTTACCTAGTGAACGCCAGTGTGTATAGCCTCGTGAACTTAAATGTCGGTTACCTAGTGAACGCCTGTGTTTACAGCCTCGTGAACTTATTTCCAAAACTGCTTATCAAAACATTTATTTCGACGAAACATTATTCACGATTCTTCAACGATTTTTTTACTTAATAACACAGACAATATTACTTCCAAAACAATTCGATATATCAGATCACACATCGCCTTTATTTAGATATTTATTTTAAGTTCTGTTTAATGACCTATTTAATGATGTTAGATGCACTGACATTTCCCATATTTCACTTGTTAAAGTGCAATAGAAAAACACTTCTACAGCGCCAAAAATAAGTATAACTGATGCGAGTATGAAGAGTAACACAACTGTATATCCCCGTGTGGACGCCACATAATACCTCCATTAGAGCGAATAGCGGAATTTTCAATAAAATAAAATATCGCCATTTCGCTTTTATTTGTCGTCTTGGCGACCCATTTCAGGCGTTGTGTCGTCTTCCTTTTATGTTACCAACGAGAAAGGTTCACGATCGAACGCGGGTCAGGTTTGTCGTACAGATTGGTTGTAAGTTAACCATTATTGGAATACTGTAGGTAAATGTCATGATGAAGAGGCGTTTCTACTGGCCTAATTACAGGACAAACGAGACATAAGCAGGTTATACATATAGATTAGCTTGAAGGAGGCCACAATTAAACCCGTAGAAAACCTATATTCTGTAAAACATTCTTCCACCTTACTAAGACGTTAATGTCGGCAAAATACACATCAAAATGACGGTGTCATTTGTTTGTTTATCATCAGGTTGATGTCTGAAGGGTTTTATAGACATGATTTTTTTACTTTGGAGGAATTTATTTTCAAGTTTCGGCGAAGAAAACCAAAGAACTGATTAGCTTTAGTGGTCATTGAATTTATGTGCTTCTCCCATTTTAGGTTTGATTGTAACGTGACGCCAAGGTATTTTGCCGAATCAGTAATTTCAAGAGTGTGACCATGAAGTTGATAATTTGAAGTAAATTTGCTTTGACGTCTGTTGAGAACTTTTAGTACTGTGCATGTATCAGGGTGGAAACTCATTAGCCAATCTTTTCCCCATTTACCAGCGGCACCCAGATCTGATTGTAATTTCTCAACATCATCTTGTGTTTTTATGGTTTTATAGATTATGCTGTCATCGGCGAAGAGGCGTAGACTGCTAAATTTGATATAATCTGAAACATCATTAATATAAATGAGAAACAGGATAGGTCCGAGGACCGTACCCTGGGGGACACCTGCAATTACAGGGACTGTAGATGATTTTTCACCATTTAATCCTACGGACTGTGTTCTGTTGGATTGAAATGAAGAAATCCAGTTAAGTGTGTTGTTCTGTATACCATAGAATTTTAGTTTATAAAGTAGGTGAGGATGAGAAACTTTGTCAAATGCTTTAGCGAAGTCCATAATTATAACATCAGTCTGGACGTTGTTGTTCTGTGTGGAGGCAGGATCCTGGATGACAGACATTAGCTGTGTTTCACATGATCGAGCTGGCCGAAATCCATGTTGTAAGTCATATAATATTTTGTTGTTTAATTTTTCCAAATGTTTCATAATGTCACTACACAAAATATGTTCGAGGAGCTTACAACAAATGCAGGTGAGTGAGATGGGACGATAGTTTATAGGATTTTGTTTATCACCTTTTTTGAATACAGGGCATACATCAGCATGGTTCCAATCATGAGGTAGTGTGCCCGAAGTTAGCGATTTTTCAAAGAGTAGGGAAAGAATTGGTGCTACAAAAGATTTAGATTCTTTAAGAATTCTGCCATGTATTTCATCGGGACCAGTGGCTTTGTGGGGATTGATGTTGTTAAGTAATTTTCAATGCCATTTACAGTGATATGAATGACATCCATGGTAGGGTGGGGACTGGGGCCTTTGTCTGGGGTTGGTGTGTTGGTACCAGGTGTAGAAACCTTTTGGAATTGACCGTTCAGTATATTAGCTTTTTCAGATGGTTCATTGTATAATTGTCCATTATTTCGTAGTGGTGGTATGTTAGGGCCTTCAGTTTTTTATGATTTTATGTAGGAGTAGAGGTTTTTAGAGATTTCTTTGGACCTTTGTTGATCGCTTTCTGGGATGTTTAATATCATATTTTCTATATATGTTCAGTAAGCTGATCGAGTTTCCCTCAGTATTTCTAGTGCCCTTAGAACATTGCATTTGGTGTCTTTCCCTTGTTTTTTTGTTTTATTGTCATCCTTTTATACTTTTTTGTTTTCTTCAATAAGCAACCCTTGATCCAGGGGGAGTTCTTATTTTGCTTTAATATTTTTTGGGGGATATTCTCAGAGATGGATTTTGAAAGACTGGTTTTAAAGGTACTCCATAGTTCATGTATGTTTTCAGTATCATAGGCTTCTTTTAGAGTTTGATAGATGGTCTTGAGGTCGTCGTTGATGTTTTCCCACTTAGCTTTATCAAACTTCAGGATCTTACGGGGTTTGGTTTGGATACGTCTGAGTGACGTTGATAATTCTGACAGTACGATATCATGGTCGGCCTCGCCTAGGGGTGGGAGTGTACGGATGCTGTTGATGATATTGGGATGGTTAGTTAGAATAAGGTCACTTAGCGGTCATACACCACGAACTCATCAGTTCACTTTAATGAAGTAGATACAGGTGAAATTGTAATAAATACTTTATTATTGTGTTGCAGTAGAAGAAAACGTGACAATTAATTACAAACATAAGTAACAACTTCATATTAACATTATGTACAAATATCATGTTACGTACAAAACCATTAAAATGTGAGGAATATTTCATCTTCTTGAGGCGAACTGGGTGAAAAATAGCACATGATCAATGAAAATACATGTATGAAATTTCGAACGAAAATAACAATAGGCATAAAGCATGTCGATAGTAACCATGAAATAAACATCAGTCAGGTAATCTCGTGTGAGTTCAGCGAACTAGACCAGAGCCAAGCCTGTCCAACATACGCTTGTCTACCTGTCCGTTTGCATCAGATCTTTTGATTAGTCCAGAACCCATTCGATCTATATAACGCTTATTCGTTTCAATGTCATCGTCATTCATACGCTTTATTAAACCGGATCCCATTCTATCCAGGTAACGTTTGTCCATTGCATTTTTGTCGTTGTTATTGAAACGCTTGATTAGTCCAGAACCCATTCTATCGAGCATTCGTTTCTCTTCTTTTGAATCATCACTAAGACGCTTGATCAAGCCAGAACCCATCCTATCTAACATTCGCTTTTGATCAATACTTTCATCATCACTAAGACGTTTGACCAAACCAGAACCAATCCTATCTATAAGACGTTTCTCGTCAATATGAATTTCGTCGGTGTCATCAGCACGCTTGATCAAACCTGATCCCATTCTGTCCAGCATCCTCTTTCCTGGTTGAAGTTGTTCGCCGAAACGTTTTATTAATCCTGCGCCAAGCCGATCTAAACCCCGTTTTGGAGCTCCAATATCTTGTGTAGACATTTTGTAACCAGGGTTCCGTTTAATTCCGACACGATCAACGGGTCGCTTTATCAGACCCATTCCTATGCGATCGAGATGTCGCTTTTTTATCAAACCCATCCCCACTCTGTCAAGTAGACGTTTTTCAGTTGTTCCAACTTGATCAAGGGGACGCTTTTTTATCAATCCCATTCCGACTCTATCCAACATCCGTTTATCCTGTCTGGCACTCTGATGGTCCCTTTGTTCCATAAGAGACTGTAACACGAGCAATTCCACTGTTGGGCGGAGCCTTTCTATGACACTATCCTTACGTTTAACCAATCCGCTTCCTATTCTGTCAATCGCACGCTTTGAGTCAGCATCACCGTCATACATACGCTTGATTAGACCACTACCGAGTCTATCCATACGCCGTTTATCTCTGCCAACGTCATCGTCATCTATGTCGTTGAAACTGAAAAAAAGAACAGAAAAATACGAATTTATTTAATCTGCATTTAAGACATATTTATTTTATAATTACTCTCGTATACTAGTATATAACAACGCCTATGTGTTGCTTTCCCTACACACACTGTATGTTATACGCTGGAAGGAATGACATCAGATTGTTGGCTGTGGAGAACGCTAGAAGTATGTTTGTCCTAATCTGAACTTGATCTGTTTAGCAATGTATATCATGATGCCTTCCATGATAATTAGGAAGTGAAAAGTTGTTTACTGCGACTAGACGTAAATATGTATTTATATATATAATATATTAAACAATTGAGATAATATACATATAGATAGCTTCGCATACATAATGGTAATATATATACATATGTATATATTGTTACGTCATGTATCTCCTATCACCAACCTATACAGTAGCTGTCTAATCAGCTTATGAATATTGTTTAAAAATCCACATTTGTATGTTGATTTTAGAATCTGTTGGTGCTATGTTTATACAATTTGTCACATCAATTAGCCAGTTTTATGATTCCCAGTCCACTTGCAATTGTAAGTATTAGACTACGAAACACCAAAGAACACGGAAAAGTAACTAACATAGTAACCAGACACTGCGGCTAGACTAATGAGACCAACCACACCAAACCAGACACTGCGGCTAGACTGATGAGACAAGACCAACCCTAACCAAGACACTGCGGCTAGACTCATGAGACAAGACCAACCCCCCCAAACCAGACACTGCGGTTAGACTAATGAGACAAGTCCAACCACACCATACCAGACACTGCGGCTACACTAATGATACAAGACCAATCACACCAAACCAGACACTACGGCAAGACTAATGAGACAAGAACAACCACACCAAACCAGTCTCTGCGGCTAGACTAAGGAGACAAGACCAACCCCACCAAACCAAACACTGCGGCTAGACTAGTGAAACAAGACCAACCACACCGAACCAGACACTGCGGCTCGACTAATGAGACAAGACCACCCACACCAACCCAGACACTGCGGCTAGATTAAGGAAACAAGACCAACCACACCCAACCAGACACTGCGGCTCGACTAATGAGACAAGACCGACCACACCAAACCAGACCCTGCGGCTAGCCTAATGAGGCCAACCACACCAAACCAAACACTGCGGCTAGACTAGTGAAACAAGACCAACCACCCCAAACCAGGCACTGCGGCTAGACTAAAGAGAAAAGCCCAACCACCCCAAACCAGGCACTGCGGCTAGACTAAGGAGACAAGACCAACCACTCCAAACCAGGCACTGCGGCTAGACTAAAGAGACAAGACCAACCACCCCAAACCAGGCACTGCGGCTAGACTAAGAGACAAGACCAACCACACCCAACCAGACACTGCGGCTAAACTAATGAGACAAGACCCACCACACCAAACCAGACACTACGGCTAGACTAATGAGACCACCCACACCAAACCAGACACGGCGCCTAGACTAATGAGACAAGTCCACCCACACCAATCCAGACACTGTGTTCAATTATGCCAATTAATGATTTCGATAATGAAAATCACCGACTCCTGAAGAGAATATACTGTTAAATTGCTTTTCTCTTCATCAAACAATTACACAATACAACCTTTTCTCTTCATCAAACAATTACACAATACAACCTTTTCTCTTCATCAAACAATTACACAATACAACCTCTTCTCTTCATCAAACAATTACACAATACACCCCTTTCTCTTCATCAAACAATTACACAATACAACCTCTTCTCTTCATCAAACAATTACACAATACAACCTCTTCTCTTCATCAAACAATTACACAATACAACCTCTTCTCTTCATCAAACAATTACACAATACACCCCTTTCTCTTCATCAAACAATTACACAATACAACCTTTTCTCTTCATCAAACAATTACACAATACACCCCTTTCTCTTCATCAAACAATTACACAATACACCCCTTTCTCTTCATCAAACAATTACACAATACAACCTTTTCTCTTCATCAAACAATTACACAATACAACCTCTTCTCTTCATCAAACAATTACACAATACACCCCTTTCTCTTCATCAAACAATTACACAATACAACCTTTCCTCTTCACCAAACAATTACACAATACAACCTTTCCTCTTCACCAAACAATTACACAATACAACCTCTTCTCTTCATCAAACAATTACACAATACAACCTCTTCTCTTCATCAAACAATTACACAATACACCCCTTTCTCTTCATCAAACAATTACACAATACAACCTCTTCTCTTCATCAAACAATTACACAATACACCCCTTTCTCTTCATCAAACAATTACACAATACAACCTTTTCTCTTCATCAAACAATTACACAATACACCCCTTTCTCTTCATCAAACAATTACACAATACACCCCTTTCTCTTCATCAAACAATTACACAATACAACCTCTTCTCTTCATCAAACAATTACACAATACACCCCTTTCTCTTCATCAAACAATTACACAATACAACCTCTTCTCTTCATCAAACAATTACACAATACACCCCTTTCTCTTCATCAAACAATTACACAATACAACCTCTTCTCTTCATCAAACAATTACACAATACAACCTCTTCTCTTCATCAAACAATTACACAATACACCCCTTTCTCTTCATCAAACAATTACACAATACAACCTTTTCTCTTCATCAAACAATTACACAATACAACCTTTCCTCTTCACCAAACAATTACACAATACAACCTCTTCTCTTCATCAAACAATTACACAATACAACCTTTCCTCTTCACCAAACAATTACACAATACACCCCTTTCTCTTCATCAAACAATTACACAATACACCCCTTTCTCTTCATCAAACAATTACACAATACACCCCTTTCTCTTCATCAAACAATTACACAATACACCCCTTTCTCTTCATCAAACAATTACACAATACACCCCTTTCTCTTCATCAAACAATTACACAATACACCCCTTTCTCTTCATCAAACAATTACACAATACAACCTCTTCTCTTCATCAAACAATTACACAATACAACCTCTTCTCTTCATCAAACAATTACACAATACACCCCTTTCTCTTCATCAAACAATTACACAATACAACCTTTCCTCTTCACCAAACAATTACACAATACACCCCTTTCTCTTCATCAAACAATTACACAATACACCCCTTTCTCTTCATCAAACAATTACACAATACAACCTTTCCTCTTCACCAAACAATTACACAATACACCCCTTTCTCTTCATCAAACAATTACACAATACACCCCTTTCTCTTCATCAAACAATTACACAATACACCCCTTTCTCTTCATCAAACAATTACACAATACAACCTTTCCTCTTCACCAAACAATTACACAATACAACCTTTTCTCTTCATTTGAGACAAGACCAACCACACCAAACCAGACACTGTGTTCAATTATGCCAATTAATGATTTCGATAATGAAAAACACCGACTCCTGAAGAGAATATACTGTTAAATTGCTTTTCTCTTCATCAAACAATTACACAATACAACCCTTTCTCTTCATCAAACAATTACACAATACAACCTTTTCTCTTCATCAAACAATTACACAATACAACCTTTTCTCTTCATTAAACAATTACACAATACAACTGTTCTCGTCTACATACGCTGTAGCCGAAAACACATATATCTTAACTGCCTGGAATTCAGAGAGCATCTGCACTCCAGGAAGTATTAAGTCTTATACATCATTGCGATATTGATCACAGATCAAGGTAAATCGGTATCGCTTTGTAACAGTACATCGATGATGTATCAAGGTAAATACTTATTAATCCTCTCAGAGATGTCAAATGAAACAGGCGACACTATGTTACAATATCATCAGCTCCATAAATACGTTATCAAGCTTGACAAATAACTCACAGAATAAAACATTGAGAATATGGTATATCTTGAATTGGGACGATTACCTCTAGTTTGGATGAAAAAAATTAGAATGATGAAATATTGGTTTAAGATCTTAAAATCTTAAAATTGTATCATATCCACTTCCTATAGATTTTTATTACAATGTTGTAGTAAAAATGATTTCAACTGGGCTAAAGCAGTAAGAGATGAATTGAATAATCTAGGTCTTAGTGATGTTTGGTTAAATCCATGTATTTCTCAGCATAATATGTTATTACCATTGATAAAACAAAGATTTTTTGATCAAGGCATACAATCCCTAAGGGCCTCAGTGGAAAACTCTCCAAAATGTTTATTGTATAAAAAATATCATAGATTTTGGAGAATCATTACAATTTTACCTCATAAAAAATATAGCAATGAAATATCGCATTTGTTTATCTCGATTCCGTACATCTTAACATTCTTTGGGTGTAGAAGTTGGAAGGTATAATAATATACCTGGAGAACGTAGATATTGTAAACGGTGTAACTCCCCCTCTGAAGTAGATGATGAATTTCATTTTTATTAGTCTGTTCTAAATTCCAAAATCTCAGTTTTTAGCTCACCTGGTCCGAAGGACCATGGTGAGCTTATGCCATACCGCAGCGTCCGTCTTTCGTCGTCCGTCCGTCAATTTTTCCTTTAAAACGCTACTAGTCATGAACAACTGAGCAGATTTTGACCAAATTTGGTCAAAAGCATCCTTGGGGGAAGGGGCACAAATGTTGTATATATGGTGGGTCTGGCCCCCCTGGGAGCTGAGAGGCGTGGGCCATTACGGGAAATATAGCAAATTCTTTAAAATCCTTCTCATTCTGTTGGAATGAAAGGATTTGTTCCATATTTGGTCTGAAGCATCCTTGGGTGAATGGAAACCAATTTTGTATAAACTGTGGGTCTGGTCCCCGCAGGGGCCTGAGGGGCGGGGTCCAATAGGGGAAACATAGCAAATTATTCTTTAAAATCCTTCTTCTTTTGTAGGTATGAAAGGATTTGTTCCATATTTGGTCTGAAGCATCATTGGGTGAAGGGAACCAATTTTGTATA